ATCAGGAAGCATAGAGGTAACTGGTGGTCAGTTCCTGGCTACCTGCACTGGAATACCTGTGAAAGGTGGACAAAGCTGATGTGGTTGGGAGAATCCAAAACTTGCCTTGATTTTACCTGCTATAATTACGTTACTTCAGCAGGTTACTCTCATGACTTCGAGCAAGTATGAGGGCTTGTTACTGAAGAGTATCTCATTTCAAATGTTTACAGTCAGTGATGGAATTGCTGTTTGCATTTCAACTCATCAATGAAACTAAATCTTATTTATATGATTTAATAATTAGATGCATTTAATTATTAATGTAAATATAATACCAGGAAAATCTAAATAATTAATGATATACTTATAAATAATTTCTCATAGTGAAATAGATTGAGAAAATGATTTGTTCTTAATAGTAGGCTTATAAATATTTAAAAGCAAGTCCCAACAATGTAGTTTACAGACACTAAGAACCTTAATGCCCTTAAGCCACTTATACAGTGTCGAATACAGCTATTAAATTTGAAGATAAAAACAACTAATGATTTGCTGGACTTAAGCTTTTATTTACTGCCAGGAAGTTTGAAATTATTTTAAATCTGACTTTCCACATTACCGAGTGTTTTATAAATAAGATGTAATTGATTTCTAAAAAAACCCCTTGCCCTGAATCCAAGTATTTGAACACAGATGAGCCGGGCAATGCTTGAAGTCAGAGCAAGTGATTTTGAGTTTCTGTTTGGTAGCTGATACAACATGCAACTGAACCTGAAGCTGAATCTTTATATTTAGCTATGCTATGATTAATATAATGTAAACTGGGGGGAAACATGACTTTCTGGTATATTATAATCCCAAGCCACCCAGGGTAAATGTCACCAGCATAAATTATTACATCCTCGGGACTGCTCTGATTTACTCTTACTTGGAATGGTGACAGAGCCCATTCTGACAGCCACCATCATTTATACCCAGTGATGCTTTTGGGTTTCTGACTCCATATTGACTCAAGTGGAAAAATAAATTGGAACCCATGTAGAAGTAAAGAACACAAATATCTGTTGGAGCCTGCTGGATCTGGATCCCCCAATGTGTTCAGACAGCTACAAAACAATGTGAAAGAGACCTACTACAGCCAAAATCAGTTGTCTTCTTCCTGCATCTTTGGGGTTTCTTCACAGAAGTATATTATTTTAGAGAAGAAATTAATACTTTAACAGAGAAAATAAATCCTTTCAAGAGAGTTTTCCAACAGCCTCTTTGTTGTAACTCCTGGATTTGGCAGGTTACTCAAAAACACTACAGGAGAATAATATTTTCTATTCAATTCTGCACTCTTTGAATAGTCTTTTTATGTAATGCAGTTAAAATTCTATAAAATTCTATTGGTTTAATTTCTTTTGTTTCTATAGGTCACTTCCATGATAGATGGGATCATTTTAAAATCACCAGGTGGTAAACCAAAATATCATACTGATTACTTTGAATTATTGATGATCATGAAAAACATGATCATCATGTTGGTCTAATTGGTCAACTAATCAATTAGAAAAATGTTTTTATTACAAATCCAATAATCATATCCACACAGCTATCCTTGATAGTGCCTGGCAAAAACTTTACCCTAAGGGAATTTTTTGAGAATTCATTTGTGTCCATTCATGTGCAAGTCAAAACTATTACAGGCTGCTGCCATATGTACCAGTTCAATGAAATTTTGGTCAACATGGCTCATGTATTCTAGCCAGATGTCCTTGATAGATGCACCAATGCCATAATATCTTCAAGCAGCAGCACAGAATATCTCACCTGAAATAGTTGTGCTTCAGCTGCTCTCTGTATAACAGAAATGAAACATTCCCTATTTGACTCTTTGGGCCTCCCTTACCACTCACAGTGGGAAGATGAGGACTAAGGAATTTAAGATAAAAAATGTGGTTCATTATACTTAGGGATTTTAGATGCATCTGATTTATCCAGCAATACACACAGGGCATTTTGACATACTATCTACTCAGTACATTTTAATAGTTTAAGACCATTGGACAAATGCTTCTTCACAGACTTTTTTATCTTTATGAAATGTTACAGCTCTTCCAAAGCTTTTCTATTCTTGGTCAGTGACCTGGTACAAATATGAACTTCACTGAAGCCAGTATAATCTATCATGCCAACACAGGTACTATGAACCAAAAATGCAGTGAAAAACTATCAACATATGAGAAAAGAAACATGCAACAAAACAAAGAGGATTTGTATCAAAAGTGTTCCAGTTTTCCCTGGCCCTGAAAACACAGTTTAATCAGTTCCAATGTACAAATAGAAAAATCTTTTCTGTTCTACTTCATTATTAAGCTGTAGGATATTCAGAAATATGCCTTATAACCTGCTACGTTTTCCTCAAATAAGGGAAATGCCTTCTGTGTAATTTAGGATCACCAGGTTGCTACAGAAGCACTCTGCATTTACAACAAATAGATCCTTTTCTTCAGAAGTGCAATGCAGTAGAAGTACTTGATTTCGTTTCTAGTTTCTTAGGAAGCCCATCTCCTATGCTGAGTGTCATCATCTACAGGACTCCATCATCCCCAGGTCATCCTCCCACCCTACCTTGAACTCCCATTCCACCTTTTTAATTCAACAACTCTGTCAAAGACTTAGGGAGAACATTCACAAGTCATGCTGTAGAAAACAGATCTTTACTTCTTGCAGAAACACACAAATCCCTGCATATTCAGAGACAGGAAAGCAAACGCTTCAGAATATATCCAGAAAACTTGGACAACAGTGGTAGGTAATACAAACCCTGTTGTGTTAATTAACCTTAACCTCTAACCCTTAGCAAAATGAATCTTCCTTACCATTGTATGAGCACTGCACAGATCATAAATTCTTCTGAAATCTCTTTGGGCAAGAGAAACTGTCTAGCAGTGGTAACCAGTAACTGGGCTTTCTCAAATATAATGTTCCATGGAATTTGAACATCCAGATGCAGCAAAACAGTTGGTTTTCATTTCAAAGCTAGATCTTTACAGTCAGCGATGTGGCTGCAAAACATAATGTGGTGTGAAGATATAAAAGCCCTAGCTCTGAATAAAGGTTTTGTGCACCTGTAACAATACAGCCATGTTAGTTCTGTGTTTCCCTTCAGACAAGAAGCAGACAACGTCCACACAACCGTCCTGGCCAGCTGTCAGCATGTCAGGTACCTCTGAGGGCTGCATTATTGCACTTAGTTCTCATTTCATCCCCTCAACAAGCCTAAAAGGCAGCTGATAAAGCAAGAGGAGAGTTCTAGCCACTGCTTTAGAATGTTCAATGACATGTTAAATCCAGGGGTTGATCTTCGTGGGTTTTTTGAGGAAGCAAAAATCACAGTCTGAGTATCTAATTCTATCTCAAGAGTGTCAATATTCTGGGACCACTCTGTTCTGTGATATGTCAATCCGAGCATCAGTCCTCACTCTGACACGTTCCAAATTTGATGCAAGTTCCTACTTCACAGCAGAAAATTCCATGCAACCTGACATGTAGGTTTAAATCAATACATTTTCTGCAAACAAGGTTCCACGCTTCCTCTGTAGATTTTTCTTTTTTTTGAGTCCTTGGAAAAGCTTTGAGCTAAGCCAGAGAAAAATGCTATTATACCACAGTATGAGTGTTTAAAAGAGTGTAATTCTGGTAGCAATACATGAATATAAATAGTAAAACTCTCTTGGGTAAACAAAATATCTGAAAAATGTCAAAACCTCCTTAGGAATGCTCTTTATGACTTTAATAAAAGTATCTGGCCATGTATTATTTTGTGTGTAACATGCTCCCATTAAGCCTAAAATAGGAATATGAACTCTTGAAGCCTGGAAATCTCTACCTAATTTTCAAATTTCTAGTGATTCCTTACATAATCTGGGACACAATTTATAACTAAGAATTGATCTCTGCTGACTGATCCCCATTCCAGCTGCACCATGTGTGGGATAGGAATTTTATTGACAGCATTTTCCCCCATATTCATTAACATCTTTAGGATATAATTATATTTTGTGGGGTTTGAAATTCTTGAAAGCTGTAGGATTACATTGGAGCCACACTGAATAAACAGTTACTTTGGATTAATTTTACCAACTGCTGATCCACTCCAATTACTGTATTTTAAGAGACCCAAACACAGTTCAGAGGGATTTTTTTTTTAATTTCTTCTGCTGTTGAAATTATGTAAAAAGAAAAAGCTTTGAAGTTAAAAGGTGGTTCATAAATATATTCCATGCTGTGCGTGCTTCTTTTACATAAGTATTTAGGAATGTATTTTAGAAAAGTCTTCTAATTGCTGGGAAAACCACCAAAACTATTTGATTAGCATTAAGCCAAACAGCATGAGCAATATGATTTTCTTCACTAACTTTGTCTTCATTTTCAGTCATTTTAATGTTTGAGTTGTTTCTTTTTTCTCTCCCTCTCCCAGTAAAGGAGCTGTTTCCTGTGCACAGTTTTACATTTGAGTTAAACAGGTAAGGGTAACACAAAACTGGTATTTTGTGTTACCTACATCTTGTTCCTCTGATAGTCATGACCAGTCCTTGGAGTTAAAAATTGCTCTGGATCTATAAGTACAGCTCTAAACCAAGAGGATTAAAGGATATTTTTTTCACATTACAAAACAATGCAGAAGTTTATAATTTTTTGGATTTTCAGATACAGCTGGTGCCACTGTAATATTTGAAATGGAGCATAATTACTGTCTCTACCAAGGTGTACATGTGGGTTTTTGCTTTGGCAAAACTGGTCAGTGCTGATCAAAGGCACACAGGAAAAAGGCCATTTGGTTAAGTAAGAACTGGAAACTTTGATTTCCGTTTAAAGAATAAGGATTAAATAATTAGAATTAGCTATGGTTTAAAAAATGAGAAGGAATCTGTTTATATAAAATAACAAGTACGACAGGGTCAGAAGAGCATGTAAGCATAAATTAATGCATATGACAAAACACTGTGAGACACTCTCAGTTAATAAGGTACCTTTAATATCCTATGTGGTGTATTCTCACTGTTGCCCACAGTTCTCCGGGTTGGAATTCTATGAGTCTCAGCTTTCTTTTCTCCCCTCAGTTTCTAGTTGAAAAATGCTGGAGGAGACAAAAAGTTTAAATGCAGAACACTAAAGCCATGGGGCCTGTGGTGGCTAAAACTGAATGTGTTCTTATTTTGGTAATTTAGGAATACAACTCATTTGATTTCGGAGCTCCTATGACAAAGTGTCTGACTAGTAAAAATCAATACCTATTGAAAACTGCAATGTAGCATTTATTTAAGATACAGTTATGAATTTTTGATCTAGATCTGCCTATAACCAATTACTTTTTAAAAAGTTATACTTTTAAAGAGAAAGCATGTGGATGGTACAGACAACTTGGAAGATACATGTATTTTCTGACTCTCAGACTTCAGTTACTAAGCACAGCAATAGAAAGTCTTCAAAATTTTTTAAAAAATGCTTAAAGCTCCCCTATAAATGTATGCTTGCAAAAACTACACATAAAGTAATTTGCTAAAGTAGATATTTGGTTTTAATTCTGGCAAAATTGCAGCTTAGTTGAAAATGTTATTTAGCTCCAAAAGGTATGAATTTAGATTAGAGATAACATATTTCCTTAAAAGTTTGTTTTGCACTAAAAGCTGAATACAACTACTTTTTAATTCAACAGCACATTTAAAACTGTTTATTGTTCATTGTATAAAGGGAATTAAAAAAAAAGCACACATCAGTTTTAGAATGACATAAATGTCATTATGACCTTCATGGATTTTCATATAGCCAAAGTAATCCCTATAAACCAAGCTTATTCAAATGCATATCTTCAATCATTTCACTGCTGTTTTGCCCTCTGCTGCAGTTTTATAAAACTCTTTCTAATACATCCTTAAAAAAAACCAAACAAAACCCCACAAAACAAATCAACAAACCACCCACAAAAAACAATTGATGCTGTTAAAGCTGTAAAGTTAAAAAGCAGAGAACTTGTCAAGGAGATCTGCTCTAGATACTGACATTCTGGGCTTCTGTTGTTTTAATTATATTGTATCCTTGTCTCTTTGCACCACTTTAGTTAAGGCTGTGTCAGCATTTCTGTTATAAATCCTTTTTCCTTGGAGTTTTATAACTCATTTTTAAAAATCCCCCACAGGCTGCATCTTGGCACAAAGGATTTCATCCTACAAGTGGAAACTTCTCTGTATATCTATAGATGTATAAGTAAGGCTTTGGAGATATAGAGTTTTCACATAAGGGTTAAATCACACCATTTCAAAAAGCAAAGGAAGACAAGAGAAGTTTTGTATTTTTATGTGTTTTTCTCTTTTATGAACAGGAAGCCAAAATAGCTTCCTCTTAATTAAACTTTTGCATCTGCCAATCCTTTTATTTTTTCAAAGAAAAATGTAGAAGTAAATAAACAGGTAAGTTGACTCATAATGCAAATTTTCTACACACATGGTCTGTGTTTTGCTACGAAAATGTCAAACACATGTTCTATATATATTTAGTAGACCATGCTAATAAAAAGAAGTTTTGACTAGATTTATAGTGCCAAATTTTGGAGCTAGGAGAAGATATGTGTCAGAAGAAAATCAGGATTTTCAAGGTCTTAAGAATGCATACAATACGAGGTCTAAGCTGAAAAATGAGGAGGAGGAGAGGAGAGATTTCTAACACATCTGAAAGTCAAAGTGATGGTTAAAACAAAGGATGAAAAGCCCATATATACAAGCTTTAGTCTGAGTAACGATATAGTAGCAAGTGTACTGGGACTAAATTCTGCAAGTATTGTCAATCACAATCTATATGGAATGTGCTTATGGAGCTTATTGTGCATTGCAGACCCTTTCACCAGGTATTTTCAGATACTCCTGCTTTCTAGCTTAAAAATTAGATCAGAAGCATGATTTAAATAATAACCAACATTCTCTAAACTCGATGCTGCAAGCCCAATCTTATGCTGTTGTTAAGACCTGCAAATGAATATTATAAAATATACTGGTAATATACAAATATACAGTAATAAAGTTTTTAATTAATATATACAGTTCAAAATAAATTTAAAATTATTTGTCAAAATATGTTTTATCACTTGCTAAAGCTCTCAGCACTTCCTCAGGTTGTGAGTACATAGGAGCCCTGTGCTTATATGATATATAGGGAAGAGAAACTCTGTCATGTAAAACTTCACAGTTATCCTTTCTCTTGTATCATGCAGTATAATGCCAGAATATTAATATTTTAAAAATGAAATTAATATATTTTGGTAACAAACTGGAGCTATTGGAAAAGAGATGAGGGACAAAACACTCCAGGGAGAGCTCAGGAATCTTTTCACCATGCCTTTTCTGTGTAGATCATACCCTGTTGATAAAATGTTTGCTCCCGTTCTTAAATATCCCAAGAAGCTGATGTAAAAAAAATGATTTTAAAAAAGCATATCTGTTTGATTTGAGTAAGAGCTGGCAAGCTGGCTTTCTTGGTTAAGTGATTCAGTTTGATCTAAATTAATTTCAAAGCTATATTCAGTAGTAAGACTCAGCCTCTCTGTTCAGCACTCCATGTACAGTCTAAGGGAGGATTAAAATGAAAGCTCTGCTCTCATATACACAGCTCATCTTCTCCAGCTGTTCCCTTGCTCCATTTTACTGCTCATGTCACAAGTTTCCTGCTAGCTGAGCAGAATCCACCTTTGCAATTAGCAACACAGCAAATACAATACTAATAGAGTGACCATCTTTGTGTTCGGAAGTCAGGCAAGGACTAGTACAAAATATTATTTTATAAGGGGAAAAAAACTAATTAAAAAAAAGAGCTAATGATAAGAGTTATAATTACTATTCACTACAGATGCAATTATAAGGAGATAACTTCCAATTACAGCAGCAGTGGTGAAGTAGAAGAAGAACAACAATTAGTTCTCTTTGCTGCCTGAAGACTGTTATTATTTAATATCCTGTGGGGCAAGACAGCATGGGTAGCCATAAAATCTGAAACAAGGATGAAAAAGGACAAATACATTAATTTTCTAGGAGTTAGAAGATGTTTTTTCCTGGTGGCTGGCTGTCAATCAGCCAGCATCAATCCAAGTAATATTGAAACTTACTTCCACACTACACCTTTCAAATTCTTGTTCCATTTGCTATTGATCTTATCTACATCTTAACATGTTAGGTACAAAACTCTAAACCACTCACCTTGTTTGTAGAGCTTCTAATACATGAAAACCAGCCAGAATCTGTAACAAAAGCAACAAAAAAGTATATCATCTTCAACAGAGAAATAAGGAGCTGCAATTGCTACTGTTTTGCAGAAACTTCTGAGGTCCTTCTATAGCTTCAGAAATAGAAAGGAAGATAAGCTTGCCATTGTTAGAGGTAACCAAGGGTATTTTGGCAATAGGTAAAAATTTTGTAAGAGTAATATATTCCTAGGAAAGATATCACATACAGACTGCAAATTTTGACAAATGCTAAATTTACACTTTAAATGTCAACTTTTGAGTGGCATATTCCAGACAACATCCAGCCTTTGGGGATCAATGAAATGGCCAAGCAGTAGACAGCTCTCTTCCCTGAGTACAGGATGTATAACAGAGATGCTATGTGTAGATGGGGAACACTGAATTTTTAGCACATTTCAGTGTCCCCAGTTGTGGTGAGCAGCAGCCCCGTTCCGGGAATGGATGCCACCATCTTTCCCTGGAGGATGTACATCCCTACCTCAGCGTGCGTATGGCAGGGTGGGGAACAGATGGTGGGCTCTGGAGGATACAGCTCCCTTAGAACAAAACCAGATTGGGCATGGACATAACTGACTGAAATGTTTTAGAGCCATCTGCCAATGGAAAGGAGAAAGACTGGTCTACCTTTGCCAGCCTTTTAAGGTTCCTTTTACCATCCCTCTTCAGCCTGCAGAGAGACTGTGCTTCCTCCCTGCTTTTTCTCTGCTACTACACGAACACAGCTCTCATGGCATAACCCCACTGTACAGAATCCTAATCCCAAAGTTCACATTCAGAATGGACATTTTCCAGTGCCATTTTCCATGCCAATATGTGCCTGCATATGTGAAATACGAATGGACTGTTACAGTGTTCACAGTTAACACACAGGCTTGGTAGGGAGGCTCAGCACAGAGCATGAGAGCTGCTGCACAAACTAATCCAGTGCACTGCTCAACAGCCACATGTGCTTAGGTGTCACGAAAGGACAGCTCCACAGGGACAGTCAGTGTCCTCAGAGTTTGTATTTCGCTGGTTGTATTTGCTGACTGGATATGTCTTCCAAGAATATGGCTCCGAAAAGGCAATACACTTGGAGAAGAGTTCAATTTTTGAGTAAAGAAAGAACAATAAAGAATTTGGGTATTTCTGGATAGGAAAAAAGCCCACCCAAATACATTTGAGGATGTGGTGAACTTGCACAGTAATTTAAGTATTTTGAATATGGCTGCCTCCATAAATGTAACTATTCATGTACATAGAAGAAGGTGTTCCAGTAAAGCAGACTTCAGAATGTACTTAGTTTTCGGGGGTTTTACAGCAGTCTACCACTCTCTACCTGTTAAAGTTTTCTAGATTAGAAAAAATTCCACTTACATGTTCAGGTCTACATATGCTAAAGCCAGTAAAGAAAAAGTGTGTGGTCCCTGGGCTCCAATGCACAACGTAGGCAGCAGGAATATAAAACATCAACACTGGTCTGAAATATGCCAGAAGAATCACCAGAATTGTTATATTTACTTTGTAGAGAAGCCTGATGATACTACTATGGATTTTTTAGCACAACCCACACAATGGGCAGGTGAGAAGCAAAATTACTGTTCCATTGTCTTTCTTTGCCTGTGATCTAAATCAATGGGAATACGCCACCTTGATGAAGCTGTTTTATGTGCTGCTGTGCACTGGGGACACTGGCATGGATCACACTCCTTTGAACTCAAATGTCACCAATTCACCTACCAGAGCACTGTGGGTCTGCACTAGTCCCAGTACAGCATTATTCTAACACAAGCAAGCCATAAATTAAATGAACTACATTATGTACATACAACATCTGTGCCTGTCTAGACATGACTTTACCTGATTGAAAGTGAGCTCTGGGATCAAATTCCACAAATGGCTGAATCTTTACATCTCACCATGTGTTAAGTGTGTCCAGATGGCAGGTGATACACCAGTATTAACAGTCTACTTTCCCTTCCCTGAAGTGTCTTTATAGCACATTGCTGATTGTATTGTAAAGAGAGAGGAGATTAAATATGTAAAATATTTTAAAATAATCCTTGTGAGAAAAATGGAGTGCATTCATGTGCTTTGCATACATACATACACACATGGTGTATTTTGCAAGGCTGCCAAGACAGTCATTGTACCTCTACAGAAAAAAAAAAATCAGAGATAAACAAAGGTATAATAGGAACATACTGATTTGACTGCTTTGTGTAGGCATTTACAGTTAGTCAAAGCCATTCTTTTACCATCCTACAGAAACAGAACCCAGCCTTTTTAGATAGATTTTGAGATGCTGTCCTCAGAGAAGTGGTGCACATTTGAAATTATTTGTCACAAAACTCAAAGCTTGTCCAGCCTTCAGCACAGATCTCTGTTCAACATAAGTAAAAATTATTGCTCCCACTGCATTTCCACTGAGCTGAGGTACCACAGGTCAGTCTTTAAGGGCTCTGTGATGGCTACTGAATCATCAACCCAAATATATTTAGTACAGGTGTTTCTGCAACTGTGAAAATCTGTAGAGTTCATTGGCCTTTAAACTCACACTTCTGCATGATGTGATGTAGTGGTCTAATGTTAACATGCTGGGCTGCATTATCAAAGATTACAGGGTCAAGATCTCCTTAGGGTTCTTTTCTTACTCTATCCACATGCATTTTCTCATTTCAGATTTTGGAAAAGAAGTGGTTTTAGGAGGACAAGATAGCAATTTTTTTACTAAAGTTAATTTAGTTTTAGTGTTAGTGCTACAAAGGCAAACCAACAAAATCAGTAAGAACATATTTGGCACCTGAGTCATTGGGGACTGCTTCATTTTCTCTAGCTAGTATAATTTTTGTAAAATAGACTCGTATGGTGAAAATTTAAAAGCACAATCTATACCCAGTCATTTGATATCCAGGGTATGTGTGTGTGTGTAATCCTTGCTTTTCGATTTTATAATCCTGCCAGTTTTTCCCAGAGATTCCAACAAGATATAAAAATGACATATGGTGTATACAATACGTTTAATATACAGAAATTCGTGGCTGACAATCCTTTCTCTTCCAGCCATGGCCACAGGGACAGAGGTGATTATGGAAGAGCCACTGACTCCTGAGCTTCCTAGTGTTGGTTTCCTTACATCTTTTTGGGAAAAGTGCCCAAAAGCTGATGCATTGGTGGGCTCTTTGATCAGACAAGAAGAGTATAGTTAAGAGCACAGGCAAACAATGATAATTGGGAAAATATTCCTCTAACAGCATTTGGTAGAGTGGCACTGTGAATTGAGACCCCATTATATGACCAAAGCAACAAGGGGAGTGTTGGCAACCTGCCCCAGTGTCCCAGGGCACAGCCACAGCCACACAGCCAGGCAGGCACAGGCCATCCCTCCACCTGCAACTAAATTTGCTCTGTTCCTGCTCTGTTTCTCTCTGTTACTCCATCATATGCTCCGTTACTGCTGGAGTAACTACTGACACAACAACAATATTCAACAACCTTTTCTTTCATTTCCTCTTTTTTAAGCTTAAACCACTCCTGTTGTTCGTAAAGAGAGAAAAGTTACCTCACTTACTCTTCTTGGGGGTCCAACATTTCCAGGTGTTGCCCTTCCCTTTAGGATAACTCCCTGCCTGCTCTTGCAGGTGGTTAACACACTTGTTCCCTCGAGAGAAGAGCACTGTGTTCCTAATCAATAGCTGTTATCAGGGAGCCTTTTGTAGACTTCTCTTTGGAAAAAGTGTGTGGGACTTAACCTTAGACCTCAAAAAATAGGCACTGCTCTCAAGTTTTATTGATTGAAAAAATAATATAAAGCCACGTGAAAATGCAGGTTACAGGGCAAAGGGAGAGTTTTGTCAAAATCAGGCACTTGACACGTTGAGGTTCCTAATCCGAACTCCGGTAGTGACACTTCTGTTTTTATATAATCCTCAGTAAATGACATATTGCAAAAGGTGCTTCCCTCCACCCAGGACTCAAATAGTAGTTGACAATACGGGTCACCATGTATCTGTCAGTTCTACTTTATTTGCTTAACACAAGTAATGAAAAATAATATATTGTTTCCTCATAAATTTCCTGGCCATGTTTAATGAGAAAAAATTGCTGAGGGTGGTTATTTTGTTGAGGTGAATGAATATCACTGATGTATATATGCTAAAATATTTCACTAAATATTTTGATTGGAAGTGTTTAAGGAAGTGTTTAATGCATTTATGATTCAGTGAATTGCAGTGGACTCTTCTTTCCCACAAATTAATTTGAAACACAACTGATTTTACTGTGCAGATCTCAGGCAGAAACTATGAGTTTTATTGCAGGATGGCAAGATTACTCAATATAACAAATTTGGGACCTATATGAAAACATAATATTTGTATACATCTATGAACTACCCAGGAACCATTCCATTTGACCTAAATCAATCACCTGAATCATGTATATCAAAAATGAGTAATTGAGGGTTTTAATAATTGAGACAATCTGAACCAATCTTGTTGGAAGAAAACCAAGTTTTAGCTGTTACAAGCTAAAACAGACAACAATATAAAAAAGCCACTGAACACAAACTTTAAATTCAATTACATTGTCATAAGGACAAAATATGGTATTCATAATATAAGACAACCTTTTCCTTATTTTACATTATATTTAGTTTACTTGGAACTCTTCACTGGATTTAGTTTATTACTATTCAAAAGAAAAACAAAAAGAGCACCCAGTATCATCAGTGATATATCTTTTTCACATGGAAAGGTTCTCTCCAGTCTTGCCAATATCTTGCAATAAATATATGCTGCATATTAATCCAATGTGGTCGATGCTTAGCTGTAAATAGGCAGAAGTAAATGTGGTAATACCAATTTTTCCTTGTGAAGATTCGACTCACTTTGGAGAATAAATTAGTTATTGCTCTACTTTTCTCTCACCTATCAAAACCCAAGGTAGGGAACATGAAGACAGCATCCACAAAGACATATATTTACTTGTCATTTGTTTACTCAAAATATTTGCAG